GAGTGCGAGGGAGAGAGAGAAAGAGAGAGAGAGTGATCAACAGAGAGAACGAGGTAGAAAGAAAGGGTGGGAGAGAAAGGGAAACAAACAAAAAAAAGAGAGAAAGTTCGTAGAAAGAAAGAAAAGTCTATCCGCGAGAATCTTCGGCTTCGGAATTGTCCTGTGTCTCCGTTACGTTCGATGGTTTTAACGATGATCGTTGACACACCGGGGGCGCTTCCTTTAGGCAAACAGAAAGACACAGATGAATAATTAATGAAACCATCTAGACTAGCGCGCAAAATTTACGTGACAATATCTTTGCCTAGCTGTAAGTATAATCGATGTCTTCCAAGCGTGACGCTCGGCAGAGCGGGCACGACGAGAATTATTATGTACGTACAACAAGTTGAGACTACTGTTATTAACACGAGTTTTCCGGGTTTTATAATGGCAAAATGGTACCGCGGTCATTCTGGGGAGGCGTTCGGTCGCGTTAACGCGTTCACTGCCGTGAGAAACGTTGGGTTGCTAGTTTTCTATTTAGAGGGAGGATAATAGTAACAACGAGGTATTCATGTACTTGGGTATTATATGGACTATTTCTGTTTGTCAATCGAAGGTTGTAGTTGTCGCTGAGTTGGTATTTAATTAATATTATGGTATATTATTTGGTTTCTTATTAAATGATTTAATATAATAAAATAATATATTACATTTGTGTGTTATGTTACATGTGATATGATATATTATTTTATTATATATAATATTGCAACGTATTATTTGTTATATGCACAGCGTGTAATATTTTATTATTTGAAACAGAGGTAGTTCATGTAATATATAAGCATTAATTGTTAATTATTTAATATCGCAATTCTTGTGTTACACTATTGAATTATCTATTAGAGTTATTTACACTGTTAACCCTTTGCACTCGAAAGATTTTCACTAGAAATATCCAACGTCTTCCAACAAGATAAATATTCCTTGAAAACGTAAATTAAGGAACAAAGCTAATTTCAATTAAATACTACATACATCGACGCATTATAGACAGCTTGATATTGTATATAAAACTTTATAATTCACCTATATCGAGTCAAGTGCAAAGAGTTGAACATTTTTGTTTAGCATCCATCGTCTTCGTCGTTTGAATTGTGTTACGAACGGCACTCAACGCGTTAACCGTGCGACTCCACTTGTTTAATTACTAGCGACAAAAGAAAAATGGGAAAAGTAACTATGTTATCTTATAGCCGCTTCAATATCTTAAGTGGCCCATAGACGATCGATAATGCTTATCGAACGAATTACTCGGAATAGTTGTTTTTTAGAAAAATTACAAAATAGGTCGAAGATTATTTAGACCGGTGATATTCTCTTTATTCGAGTGACACGAGTTTATCCGTTCGAATAAAGAGTAAAGATGCTATGTCGTTACATATCCTATACAGATGCGAGTAATCATTGCAGTGTTACAGATGATTTAATCGAATGATTTCTGAAGTAGCTTAACTACGCTTCAGAATTCACCGGCGAGCCCTGTTCTCTTCCAATATCGCGCCACATATCCCTAACGAGTAAGATAATGTAATTACGTTGAACCTTGATGAACGGTAGCGGTAAAGAACAATATAGAGAAAACTACTAATCGTTGAATTTCACCTGTTAACTGTGGAATTTAGTTTCAAAAATGTCTCGTCGCGATATGATCGAACAATGAAAGCGCGTATACTCGTCGAACGCAGGAGAAACGCGGCTGAAATGTATATTCTAACGGAAAACTGAAGCAAAACGAAGAAGAATTACGCGTCTGTCTGAAAAAGTGATTCATCGTTAAGAGAATTAGTAATCGAAATAGTGCATTGATCGCAAATTATCACAGTTGGCGAATAAAGAAAAGGATCTCGCGTGTTAAGATAACGTGTATACTCGTCGAACGCGGATAACTGGTTAATAACATTGTACGAGTTACGTGCGCACAGTTGGTACAATGTTATCTGTTATTTATATTCAAGGAAGAAAGGCATATAAGAGAAAAAGACCGATAGTTGTCTACAACTCGGCTAATCAGGTACTATTTATTCATTACCATCGATGAGTCATTTGGTTCTTCGTAACGTTGTGATCGTTCCCAAGCAAACTTCATTGTCTGCGGGCCATCGTAGTTGTTACAATTTCGTACCCCTGTAACGCGATTAAAAAGTTGTTGAACGATAACTTAGATTTAACCCTTTGAGTGCTGAATACTCGAAGGGTTAACCATTTGCGGTTGTATTAACTTCATGTACAAACGAAACTTATGGCTTGTTTTTAGACGTAGGCAAATTTAATGCGACAACTGATCCCCATTTTGCATGAATTATTTTTATAAGTATTCTAATTCTTTCATTTTGATTTGTAATTTTATCTTTCAATTTTTCCACTTTTATCTACAATTTTATATTTCAATTCCTTCATTTTTATTTAGAATTTATAACGTTATATTTCAACTTTGTCATTTTTATCTACAATTTTACATTTTAATTCTCCCATTTTCCTTTACAATTCATAGCTTCATAATTCCATTATTTCCATGTCAAACCACCAGAACACTGTTCTGCTGTTCACAGTTCGCCCTGTGAAGGGCGACCGCAAAGGGTTAACTTGAAATCTGCGAACGTGAAATCCACGCAACACGGGACTTTTTAACCGCGTCACAAGGGAACCTATACAATCAGTCTAACGTCTCCTTGTTGCAAGAGAATGAAAATACACGAGCGCTGTCCACGAGTTTGTATCTATTGCACGAAAAAGTAGAGCCACTCCGAACGTTATCCTTCTGCATGCGTGTAAAATAAATAGACCCGTCGCTGGTACCGAGTATTAGCAGATACGGCGAGAGAAAGAAACGTAAAACTCGCACTCCTTAACTCGACGCGATAAATCATATTTTTCATTTCACCCAGGAGTGTCTCTAACGCTGCACACGGTACTATCGCGGCGCTTATCGTTCTCCGGATTTTCGCTGGTACGATGTTCCCGCGAGAAAACAAAACGGTAATTCGAGAAAGGTGAGAACGGAAAGACGAGGCGGCGACAGGTTTTTACGATACCGAGCGAGCAGCGCGAAATGTAACAAGTTATGTACGGACGAGTACAATTAGTTATGTAATCCAACGTCTTCCGAGGCCTAGACAGGTCGCATAGATCACACGTTAGCGTAAGCAATATGAATGTAGCCAATGCAGTAGTTCGGTGAAGGTTGCGGGACAGTTTTCTCCCGCGTTTCAATCTGTTAATCGCTTGCCACACAAGATCGCGTCGGACTGGCGACGAAAATCTCGAACAAAACTTAACGAATCCAAGCGTTACTCATTCCTTTCAAAATCTAAACGAAACATCTCTTTTCCGCGTTCAATCGTGAACGCCCGAAATGAATCTGCCGAATGGAAGCGCGAAATCCATTTTTCTCTCGATAAATTATTAAGGTTGAAGTACTTCGATCGAGCACAGTCGCGACAGAAATTGTCGGGCAAGGGGTTAATTACGGTTCAGCGGTGCTGGTTAGGGAAAAATCACTTCGACGCGTAAATGAACGATTGAATGTAATAAAATAATATTCGAATCTTTTGTAAAGGCGGCGCGTTTCGTTTCGTAAGGTATTGCAACCGCGGAGGGTGCTATTGAAACGAATCCTGGCAGCGAACGGGTTAATTAGACGGTGTCGGTGATGGAGTTTCGTAACGAATGGGAGGGGAACGGATGCGTTGGCGAGAATAGAATATAGACAAATAATATGAATATTATAATAATTGTAACGTGCTAGAAATGAGAATTGTAATATGAATATTATTTGTGAAATCGATATCGGTTGTTAATCAGATCTCTATTGTTTATTAGGCACAGTGTGCTTAAAGTCTATAGGATAACCGTACAATTCGTTTTTATATCTATCCTTTTGGGAACGAGAGAGGGAGAAAATGTATAAATGTAATTGTTCTATTCGTATATTTAGATGATCGATTTCGATTCGTTCGTAATCCAAGTTTCATCGACGATAGAAGCGAAGAAACGTAGCGAATAATGTCCCGCGGCCGCTGAAACGTGTTACTTTAAAGGAGATACGATAATATTTATGAAACGAGTCTTCCAAATGATGTCTTCCAGAATTATAATAATGATAATAATAATAATAATAATAATACTGATAATAATAATACTAATAATAATGATTACTGTAACACCGATCTATTGATCGGAGGAAAATCTTTGTCAATGATATTAAACGTTACAATTGAGAGTTATAGGAATTAAGAGTTAATTGTTAAGCCAATGATCAAATTTAATGTATAAGTAAAGGAAAGGAAAAGATAACACAAGAGAGAAAGAGAGAGAGAGAGAGAGAGAGAGAGAGAGAGAGAGAGAGAGAGAGAGAGAAGAGAGAAATATCATCGCTAATCGTCGTTCAAAACTAGTTCTCATCGTTTCACACGGGATCGTTCTGTCCTTAGAGGGTCGAGACGCGTAGATGGCGAACGAAACGTAAAAAACATTGCCTTGTCATTTTTAAGAGATCAGTGTCGCACCATCGATCTTCCGTTTCCAGCATGTAACACGGACTTTTATTGTAATCGTCGACCAAAGGGATAGCTAGCGAATATTACTAGATATTTACCTAATGTTACACAATCACAACGGAGAACGGAGATTCGGCTATTTTCTCCTCTTCCCGGCCGATATTCCTACGGATTACGTTCGAACATTTCAAATGCGTTCTTTTGTTAACTGGCTCCGATGGCTGAGGTGTTATCGCCAGCGATAAACGATGTTTTCGTTCATCGTGTTTCATTGCGCCGTATCGTTTGGAAATTTAAACGTCCGACAGCAAACATCCTATCCTCGGAACGTATTACAAGGAACAGTGGTCTATGGAATGTCCGTTTTTTTCTTGTAGGTTCAGACAAGAATCTCGCCTGTTGACCCTTTGCCCTGCGACATCGTGTCAAATTCGTTGAGAAGATTTCGAGTGGACTTGAATATAAACGGAATGTAAATTCACATAAATGTCACGGGATTCTTTCGAATTGAACATTATTTTCCTGGCTGCAACAGCATTTGTTTATGATCTGATGGAAAATAGAAGATTGATCGCGAATTACCTCAGTTGTAAAAAGAGAAAGGATTATTAAATGCTTCGGAATAAACGCGGACGGAATAAGCGTAGAATTTTCTTCGTTTGCTAAGGAATTATGAACAATGAAATAGCTTTGTCGAGGGCGAAGGGTTAACGAACAGTCTATTTATATTCTAGATAAATTGTAAAGTGCATTGGAGATATTAAGAGAAATCGTGGAAGTCAACGTGTTAAGCTCCTGTTATATCGCCCAACGAATCGGAATTTTCATATTCCTTTGATCCGATCCCCGTGAAATTCTCTTGAATTTCGACTCAAAGTTCTTTTGTATTCAACATGCGAAACACTCGAGGCTACGAAACACTTTCGTAAATTACAAATTATACAAATTATACAAATTATACACGATGAATGGTTTTCGAATCCATTAGCATTGTAATTGACTTAAAATCGACGTTAACGGTGGAATAATCTTCTTGGACGTTGGGATAAGTTTCTTCGTGTTTCGTTGCTTGCGAGCTTTTAAATTCGTGAAACGAACGTAAGAATCTATCTGATAATCGTTGTGAACCGACTGGAACGAAACGACGATAGCTCTGACCGCCGGAGGTTCCAGAGAAATTGAAGCAACGACCAAAAATCGGGCGATCGAAGGATTCAGCGATCGAGCATGGTGGGTTTTCGTATAATTTCCGTGCGCTTTCTCCGGGATTAATCATGGATTTGTTCGCGTTCCCGATGATTTTCTAATGTTGTTGATTCGCGTCATGCTCATTCATCCCCGGTCACAATCAGCGGCGAGATACAACGTTTCCCCGAGAACTGATCATATAGATCTAATGCGCTTTCACGGAACCGCGATGCTTTTCGGCGGCGTTTCGTGGACAACCTCATTACTGTTGTAGTTAAATATGAAACGTATAAGCGTTATAAAACGATGTAAAATGGGCTTCCATATATACATACATATATGTATATAAATATATAAATTATAAAAGACGAAAAATACATCACCAAAATTTTACACTTGTGTCGTTCACTCTTCCCCGTATGCGAACAACACGAACAGAGAACCGAGAGGGAAATATCCGTAAGACTTGTAAATGACAATTGACGGTGCTATTTACGGAAACAGCAGCTTAACGTCAACCAACCGAATTTGCCAAATGTCCATTGAACAAATTGCAGAGATCGTTAGGGGTTGAATAGAAAAAGAGTAAAATGAAAAACAAGAATCGCTTATCAATCTTCAGATTCTCTGAAATTCAGTATTTTATTGTAAATAAAAAATAGATACGTTACAGGTAGAATAAGAATATGGTTTAACCGAATTTGCCAAATGTCCACTGAACAAATTGCAGAGATCATTAGGGGTTGAATAGAAAAAGAATAAAATGAGAAACAAGAATCGCTTATCAAACTTCAGGTTCTCTGAAATTCAGTATTTTATTGTAAATAAAAAATAGATACGTCACAGGTAGAATAAGAATATGTGTTGTCAGTGTTAGAACGTTGACGATGATAGACGAACGGTGACGCTGAATGACAAATGGCTAAAGTTCAAAGAATACTTTTGGATGGCGAGATTCAAAGGTTTATTAATCCTTTGCAGTCTAGATTTTAAAAGACTTAATTAAATATTTAGATTTAGATTTAATTAAATACTAGAAACAAGGAAACTCTACGTGTCAGTCTCTCGTTATTTGAATAATTAAATTATTCACTTGCAGCTTTTGAATTTAAATACCAAAGCTCGAAGTCTCCAGTATGGCGGCATTCGACCGCGAAAGATAAAGACGATGTTTATAAAATTTGGAATTTTTTAAGAGAGTTTTTAAGCAATAGCTTAAAAGGTAAGATCAGCTTCAAAATAGCTTTGAATAAGAATGTGGGTTAAGAGTTATACTTTTGTAGCGTTTCCAAGAATAAAAAGGGACTTTCTCTACGCGAAAACGTATGAAAGAACCATCGCATTTCTCCGTCATGCTCTAAATACTGCTTATCAGTACATAAAGGGTCCGTTCTACTAGCAAACGGCATTACATTTTCATTGATCACGATGGAATTATTGGTAAGCTATCATTCATTCTACTTCTTTGCAATAACGCGCTAATCGTAAGAAATATATTGCT